GGAGAGAAGAGGGAAGAGAGAAGGGAAAAGTAGAGAGTGAAAAGAGAGGGAGAAGAGAGGGAGAAATGGAGAAGCGGGGGAGAAGAGGGGGAGAAGAGGGGGAGAAGAGAGGGAGAAAGGGAGAAGCAGGCCAGAAAGACTTTGGCGGAGTCCAGATACATCAAGGGGGTAGGGCATTTTTTCAGAACACCGTACCCTCAATTTCATGAATTTTGAGCCAAAAAATGAGATCTCAATTTCGTTCAAAAAATAATCAAACATAATATGTCCATTTTCATGAAATATATGTGCAATGACTTGCTGTTTTCTGGTCGCCTGTAGCCTCTCTCTGTCAAGGCTGTACCATAGGTAGGGTAGATTCGTAAAGTTTGGCTGAGGGCTAACCGAGAGACCCCTACCTGCAGTGGAAATTCGTGAAGGACATACCTGTAAATTTGGGAAAAATACAGGCCTAACACTAACTGAATTTCCTACTGCTACCCTAACTGCGAATAGCAGGCCCGGGCTACCCCTAGGACAGACAGGCCCTAAGGGCCTATGCTGTTAGACGGTCCTATAGCCTATAGCCGGGTACAGTAGAGGCCGAGAGGCCGAAACTGATACGGTACCGGTCAGTCAGTCAGTCCGGTCTAGGTCGAGTCTAGGCTAGCTGTAGTCTATAGATAGAATGGGCACATCGGTTCAGGGCTTTTGGCAGTTGGTACCGAGTACATCGCTGCTGCGCTACGCGTGAACCGGAGGTGGTGACGGCTCAGCGTGGAAGGAGACAGGCATCGCCAGACATTCGGAGCGCCGGCCATAGCTGGGACCTGCGCGGTACTCTGCCAGCACGCAGGGGCTGACAGAGTTCTGGGCTATCGAGGTCTGCTGGAGGCGAGAGAAGTTGGTGCCCTGCTGGACCCTCCTCCGGAGTGGGGTTCCAGGGTGGTGGCGCTGCAGCCATAGCTGCAGCTTCTTCCTCAGAGGTCATCTTGTCAGGGTTTGGTGGCGCTGGTGCAGACTTCCATCCGGGAAGTCTTCCGACACTTCGCCATCATCAGATACTGTGGCGCTGGTCTTCTTCTTCATCCTCTGAGTGGCGCTTGGCCTCAGAGGCCTGTTTCAGGGTGGTGCTTCCCTGTGGAGGCTGTATCTGGGTGGCGCTTGATGTTTCAGGGGCTCAGGGGTGTTACGGGTGCTAATCAGGGTAGGGGAGTGAAGCGCTGCTCATCTCTGAGCAGCAGATCATAGTTTTGAAGTTATTCTGACAATTCGACACTCTGAGTTTAATAAACAGTGTGTAACTGGGTTTGGACTATCATCGTTTCATTGTTTCCTGGATGTGATCTGCTCGGCTTTCCTTTATGACTGGTTGTGAGGATTGAGTGGAGTGAATTGGACTTTCAGTGTACCCTGTCATATCGCATGGTCAAGTCTTCCGCTGTGTTTATCTCTCCCTGTGCGGTGTGATACTCCTATCCTCTCCCCTTCCTTCTGTGTATGTATGGGCATACCTGGAAGTCTATGTGAGTGAGCGTTGGTATTCAGACAACAAACAACCAGAATCATAACATATGGCTATGGCGGACTACTAGCAGCACCGCCCCGATGTTGAAAACCAGCTATGTCCTCTACACCTCAGGCCCCAATGCCTGACTCCGCCCCCTGAAGCCTTCTTGATGCAGCGCTACCCCACCTGGGGCCTTCCAGATGAAGCGCCTACCAAGGAGATGAAGATGGCGTCCACCATAGCCAGGTAAGTACCCCTTGCCACTCTCCTCCCTACTCCCCATCTTCCTCCTCCTCTTCCTCCTCCTCCTCCTCCTCCTCCTCCTCCCTGGACCGGTCCACCATAGCCAAGGTGGATGGTCAGGCGATCCTCCTCCCGGCACTCCACACTAGCGCTCCAGCAGCGTGACGCCCAAACTTGCACACCGCAATTGAGGAGGAGCTACTCCCTCCTCCTGCAGATATAGCAGCCAACCTATTGAGGAGGAGCTACTCGCTATTGTGGACGAACTGTGCATCATGTGTACCACAATCGATGAGGAACTTCTCGCTCCTCACAGGTGGTGACTTCCAGGCCGTGCGGCCTCCAAGCAACCGGTACCTCCTCCCTCTCGGACGAACATCATTGCAGGTCTGATATCGTCCGCTACAGGCCCTAGACTCAGACTCCTGGACTGGTACCTCTAGACCTAGGCCTACCGGACTCCTAAAATTCACACGACCTCTACAGGTGCTAACCTTTTTGTCTTCTTCTGCTCCGCCTACGGCTACACAAGTACTACGGGCCTAGCCTGCCGCTACACGAGTGTGCCGCTACTCGAGTGTGCACCTAAGCTACCCCTTCTGTCACTTGAGTGTCTCCCCGCTGCAACCCTCAAAGCCACGGCCACAGGTAAGTACCGGACACGCGGGCCTCCCAAACAAACAAGTGCCCCAGCAGGCCACACACACACTCAGGCAGACGGGCACTCAGACAGGCACACCAACCAGCAAGCACGCACACACGCAGACTTAGAAAACTCAGCAAAAGGGGGAGTCTCAGCACAGCACTCATTCCGGCGCCACACCCCAGAAATCACCAGTGTTCTCAGTCCCTTACATATACCTGGACAACTTCATCTCCACTAGGCCAGTAGAGAAAGAACAGAGAACAGAGAACAGAGAACAGAGAGGAGAGAGAGAAAAGAGAGAGAGAAGACAGAGAGAAGAGAAGAAAGAGAAGAAAGAGAAGAAAGAGAAGAAAGAGAAGAAAGAGAAGAGAGAAGAAACAAAGAGAGAGAAGAGAGAGAAGAGAGAGAAGAGAGAGAAGAGAGAGAAGAGAGAAAAGAGAGGAGAGATACGGGAGAGACAAAGAGAAGAGAGGCA